GCAAAAGAGAGAGATTTGTGCTTTGCTTCCATTATTTTTACCTTTCACCCTCATAAACCAGCATAAAGTGCTTTGAATGAATGCTATGTTAAGAAATCTGAGCTTGATTAAGGTAATCTGTCTCAAACAAAATGTGTGTGCGTGTATATACTTTAATTAAATTAGATAAAGGAAATTGTGTAAAGCACTGGAAAACTTACTTTTGTTGTTGATGATGGTTTGTTTAAATGATAAGTTCTTGGATTTGCAATATTCAAAATTAACTCCATGCACATAAGCGAGCATGTAAAAATAAATTTACACGTGTAAGAGTTAAATTAATTCACTGCATATACGACGCAAGCATTATACGCTTCTCTATTCTCTCTGTGTTTCTTCTTTTTCTTCTCCTCCTTTCAACCACATGCCATGATTATTTGCATATGTGTTACTTTCCCGGCAACAACAAAATGAACAACATTTACTGTTAAGACATTATTAAAGGAAGTCAAACCACATTAACCCACATGAGTTTTATGCAAACTTGCCGAAATAAACAACATTAAATAAAACTATACAAGTGAAACAGGGCTACGCAACAACGCAAAAAACATTCCAGCGTACTAACATTTTGAAAATTGAAGAACTTATGAAACATGATGAAAGACATGATGAAAGATCATGGCATCAATTCAATATGATTATTAATCAATGGAAGAGACTTTCGTCTTTCTCTCCTCCCTCTAGGTCGTAATGAGTGCTATAAGTCAAAGAAAACATGAACGTTATTAATCGAGTTAATCTACAAAGCTCCTTAAACTATGTTACAATTGATGAGAATAAATTCAATACAGCATGTCGGGGATATTTTTCAAGGTAAGAGGATATTTACGAATAGAAACATGTATGCAATAGTTTGCAAGTCGGGGATATTTTTCAAGGTAAGAGGATATTTACGAATATAAACATGTATGAAATAGTTTGCAAGTCGGAGATATTTTTCATGGTAGAGGATATTTATGAATATAAACATGTATGAATTACTTTGTATTTCGGAGATATTTTTCATGGTAGAGGATATTTACATAAACATGTATGAAATAGGTTGCGTGTCGGGGATATTTTTCAAGGTACAGGTACAATAGTTTCCATGTCGGGGATATTTTTCATGGTAGAGGATACCACATCATATGCATAAAGCGATTCCGATTAATCTGGCATTATACAGGTTCCCTTAATAACGCAAGAAAAGAGTTAATCGAACTAAACAGACCAGAAATATTGAATATTTCTTATCTCTACATATAGTTCATTTCAAAATAGATTCTGATAATCCTCTCTCATAGTTTCCGTCATCAAAAAAAAGTTTATAAAGGCAGAGCATTAACCTTTAATCGTATTCAAAATAGATTCTGATAATCCGTTCTCGTAATTTATGGCGTCAAAGAAAAGTTCATAAGGCAGAGCATTAACCCTTAATCGTATTTTCCCGGTGTGATTGCATGCAAAAGGCCGTCATCTGCCCTTGAATATAAACACATGCAAAACGTGAAAGCGAAGTAAATCTGCGGGGATTTGTAGCAATATTTACTTTTAAAAGCTAGACTATTTTTTAGGGAACACTATCTTAAGAATCGGTTCAGAAAATTAAGCATTTAAATAAAGTAAATTTCAAGAGTAACTAAAAAATATCTCACAAGGTAAAGTAGAAGTAAAATTAAGTAAATCCTTTAGTGCGAAACGCGTACAGATTAGGTATCCAGTTTTTTGTTTTTTTTGTTTGGCTTTAATATTCGTTTTAGTGATTCCGTAGCCCTTGTATGAAAATTTCATATGTTATTTAGCTAGTATGTATAGATGGTTCTGAAGTTGCATGTTTTCTCTTTTCCTTCTTTTCCTTATATGAATACACATATCCACATGTAAATATCTGTCTGCCCCGTTTAAGTCTCTGCACAAATTAAACAAACTTACTTATTATCAGAGTTAGAGACAAGGAAGCGTAGGAGCATTAATTTCAAAACTGGCAGTTGTATTAGAAGTATCATGAGCGCCTCTAGTCTATGCAGTGTGGGTTGATAAATAGCATTTCAAGCAGTATCTCAATGTCTTCTCTTGGTAATAAACATACTGATGTTTATTCTTTAGGTTTTTGCACTCATATACATACATACATACATACATATATCATATATATATAAAACATATGAGATTTTTTTAAATAAAAGTTTTCACAGATTTGAAGACAACAACAACTCTCGACAAGCAGAATTTTTTTTTGTTGTTGTTGTTGTAAATATTAAAATCTGAGTTGCTTGATATGACATCAAGACCTTTAAGATTTACGATTGCGGCTAATGTAAGTGTTTCATTAAATCACTTAATCTAAAAAAAGAAAAAAAAAATATTTATATTAAAGCAATGATTTTACTTTACCCAGATCATATAAACCTTATCATATATATATATATATTAAGTAGTCAAAGTATTTTGAATTTTTTTCTTTAAGAATTTTTTTTTTTTTTTTTTTTTACTAATTGAGATTCATTTAGATATGTGAGATTCTTTTAAGAGAGAAATTTAATTTGGAATATGAAGAGACCATCTGGTATTGAAATCGACAATTTTTTTTTTTTTTTTTTTTTTTTTTTTTTAACCTATAACGTATTATTATTGTTTGTATAACCAACTCATTCGGAACATGAGCAACGGATGCGGAAGTGATAGCTAAGTACTAATGGTAAACTGCATGCATGCAGTGGCAATAATTCTGAAAGTCATAACATTTAGAGGGCGCAAACAGAAGAAGCAGAGCAAAACAGAAATCCGCTTTATTTGCTTATCTATGAACACTCAACAGAGAGAGAGAGAGAGAGAGAGAGAGAGTGAGATAGCATATGTCTATATATGTGCACTCTGCACATTAACGTAAGTATTTGAAGTTTTAGTAAATACGTTCAACCACTTTTCCAAAAAAAAATTTCTATATTCATTCTAATATTTGGATGTTATCTACACGACTTATAATGTTCATAGTTTTCCTTCTTCTAGTTTTATATGCAATTGACTTGGAAAAAGTGATTGGTATTTTAATTTTGTCTTTGTGTTCGTAACGTATACAATGAAACACATTGCAACAATTAAAATCAGTTCAGATTAATGGGTGTCAATGGGGTCTTAATGGGTGTAGCGGTAAGGAAATATAATAAGATCAGCTATGAATATCGAGAACGATATTACGTATAAATGCCATGAAACGCTTAGTTTTCTCATATAAAAGGATCGAATTTCTTTAATTTAAATTTAATATATCTCTTGTTATAAGTAAAGCATTGCTCTCATGGCAGGATATTTGAAACTTCAACAGGTTCATACGATCATTTCTGAAATGCATTTCACTGCATATATCTATGCACTATATATGAATTGCATATAGAATACCATAAGTATCTTAAGCGCTTGCCACGTGAGAAAAATATATGAAATCTTCTGAGACCGTCAGTTGCGTAATCCAAATTAGATATTGCTCCGCACTTTTATACCTACTTTTAGTAGACCTGCGTTAGTATTTCTTAGGTTATTAATAGCAAACATTTTAGTATAGTCCATCTTGGCAGAGAGAGAATTTTCCATAATCTGTAGGAGATCTTAAAATTTGGTAACTATATGCATGGAGATATCAGTTAATCCGTCCTACCTATCCATCGAAGAATTAAAATACCTTGGGAAACAAAGACACTACAACTAAAGTGCAGGTACCTCGCCTTCTTTTCCCCATTTTATTTTTAAATCTAACATCGCTATTTTTAGTAGGTATCAAAAATAATTCGCCTTAAACCAACTATAGGAATGACTTCTCTTATAGCTCGAATTCAATTAAAACAATCTGTTATTTGTTTTGGTGATTTTTCTGTTTTAATAAACATTGATACGAAATATATAAGCGTTTAGCATGTGCACAGGAGCACACTTTTAATATTTTTCTATTTCTTCGAAAATCAATTTATTATGACTTAACCTCAGAAGTTATCTATGCAATAAATTCACTTGAAATCTTACGTAAGAGAACGAAGTAAGATTATTTTTTTCCCCACCCCAAAAAAAAGGACAAGTAAAAAAGTTATATTCGGCTGTAGCCGAATTTCTCATCCCCAACCCATGATTAATAAGCAGAACTCAAAGCCTTATAACAAAGACTTATAACTTTCTGTAGGCGCAACCGATTTTTCTTTTTAATCTTTTTCATATAAATGGTAGAGTTTTCCCTAAAGGAAAATTTTGCAAATTTTAGCTTTCTATCTTCCATATCTACTTTTTAAGTAATGTGCAACAAAACCACAAATTTTCATCAACCTGCGTGCAGAAGCTTCCAATGTTTCTATAAATTTAAAGCCGATATCTTCATTTTTGCGACCAGGAGAGTGTCAACAGCACACACAAACAGATAAGCCTGTGGATTATGGGCACACACACACACACGGACATACATGACCTAATCGATTACAAATTTCACGCTAATCAAGTATACACATATACTTTCTAGGGTCTCTGAAGCTTTCTGTTTGAATGTTGCAAACATTATGATAAAATAAGCATGCAACCGTACTTGGGGGTGGTAGGTGTAAGAAAGAAAAAAAATATTACTTTTCCCATTTTTTTTAATGGATTCTTTTTTATTATTCTTTATTCATTAACGATTCCATTAAAACAAAAGAATGACTTTTTACGTGGCTTTCCACAATAAATTTATTTTCTTTAAAAAACAAAAAAAAAAAAAACTATTACTAAAAGTGTTGAAATATTTTATTAAAATTTAAATTTCTACTGCAAACGTCATCTATCTATTGCCTGCGTATTGGGTGTGTGTGTGTCGCAAAGAGAATATGAAATTATTTGTGTATGTCCGTATGTAAGTATGCATGTATGCTTTATGCTGTCGTAAAACATCGCATAAGAATCAATCAAAATGTTACATGAATGATTGACATTTTACAGCACACTTTCCAGCCGATGGCAATAGCAATTACCGTTAACAACATTAACCACATCATGCTTCGAATTTTCTGGTAAAATTGAATCAAATTGTGTTGCGTTAAGCTGGAATTTCGTTATAATGTATGAAAAATTTACAATCAAATGCACGTTGATCGGAAGTGAAAAGCGCACCAAAAAGTAGTTAGATTTGAAATAAAAAAAAAAAAAAATATATACACATATATGTATAAAAAAAATTAACTTTAAAATTTTATTAAAATAATTATTGAAATATTTGATAGATAAAACACGGAAGCAAGACTCAATTTTAGATCAAAGGCACAAAGGACAAACGAGGCATCAGAACTTTTACAAAATGTTGCTAACTGGCTGGCGGTGAGTTCTCTCTTAGTGCAATTGCATTTGTCCCCACAAGAGATTTCGTTACATAAAATAAAATTAGTGGAATTTTTTTTTTTTTTTTTAAATACCAAACTATCATATATTGATTAAATGATTGTGAATTGTTGAAGCAAGGAAAATCATTGCATTCGGGCAGGGACGCAGGGACGTAAGATTCTTGGTTCATATTTGTGGTGAAAATCTCTTTTCTTTTTTCAAATAAGAAAAATTCTTATACCTGACGAAGCACGAAAAGTAAAAACTCAGGAATTTTAGCAAAAAAATCTCATTATTCTTCAACTTTTCTCGTCATAAGGTACGAAAAATTTGAATATTTTGCCATGCAGTGGCTTACTTCTCAAGAGGTTTCTCATATGCGACGGGATTGAACATAGGAGGCATACATGATCCAATTTTGGTGCAGTTATTGTTTTATATCAAATTATACTATACATGCAGACCAATTCTTATCATAAAATACATACACCTACACGTACGTGCCACTTGTGGCACCGGATACATTAAGTTAATGCGGTCGTATGTAACACGCAGAAAGGCTTAAGATGGACCCACCTTTTATTACACTAATCGATCCAGAATCATAATCTGACTTAACGTAAGCCTGTCTGTCCGTCTGTCCGTCTATTGTCTTTCCATGTAAACTTGTGTTCAAGCTGCACGTTGCACTTCTTGAGATATTTTGATGAAATTTGATACAGTGACGTGTTTTGACCTCTCATTCCCTCATAATCAAGCATCAAGCATGGGTAAAACTTGACATAAAAAGGAGTCCAACAGTTTTAAAAAAAAAAGTTATTTGAATCTTCTGCAGATCATTATATCAGATTTTCTGAGTATATATGTGTGCTTGAACTCTACCTCTATTAGGTAGCAATGTCTTTTAATATTTTAGGAGATAATAGTGATAGGTATTTCTAAAGCAAACGATTTCGCAAATATTAAAATTTGATGGATTTCTTTGGTTGATGATCCCGCTAATAATTTTGTAATTTTTTTTTTATTTTTTTACTTTTCATTAAACTATGAAATAGGCTCAGAAGAAGAATAAAAACACTTTTACACTTGCGGGAGAAGTGAACTGGGTACTAGGAACTGGGAAATATTTCTTTTGCGAAGATGTCTTACGCGCATAGTTACCACGATATTCGAAATTATAAAGTCATTCTAAAAACTAAATCAATATTGAATTATTTCTCATATTTTGTATGCATAAACCAATCTTGATTTTTTTTTTTTTTTTTCAATACTAAAACAATACTTATGTCTCAAGCTATTTATATCACATAAATTACATGCCAAAAATCAATTGAGAAAATCATTATAGCGACATTTTTTTCCTTTTTTTTGTTTACTAGATTCAAAACAGTAGGTGTTATGGCGCCAACATATACGTGCATGTGTATGAATATTGAAGAAAATATGTGTGATAAGTATATGTCTTTCTATACTTGTTAAAGAGAAGAAATATAGTTTCATTTTTCTTCGTTTCCTTTATGTGTAAGTTTGATGATGTTCGTAATAGTCGAAAGCAAAAAATATCAGCCGTCTGTATGTAAATCGGTCGGCATTTGACCTAAATATTAACTTGAAACTTGAAGAGAATATATGATATATGCATTTGTTTACACATGTATGTTATATGCCCTTGTGGATTATGTGTGTGCAGTAGTAATAGTTGTGGTGATATGCGAAAAATATATTGACGCCTGATGTTCATAAAAAAATTTAAAAAATAAATAAATAAATAAAACAAAAAAAGAAAGGGATAACATACAATTACAAAAAATTATATTAGGTTTAGAACGCATTTTACATATACACTAACAGTTCCTTATATTGCAAAAACAAAAGATTATTATATGGATGCTTCACTTGCCAAATCGATTAACTTCATTTTAGGAATTTTGTTAAATTTTAATATCAAAGCACTTCATTAGCTCCTAACTGTACATATTCAAAATGAATTTCCCTAACAATACTAAACGAAACTTTTTGTTTTATAGAGTTAATCGATTTGGCAAATGAAGCATCCATATGTAAGTCAAAAAAGAATGCATTGAAACGATTGTGTGTTGGTTACTGATTAATGCGTCGTCTTAAAATGACCGCAATTAGTCCGGAAATATGCCAAGCCATGTTTCAAAATTCTCTCTACTTGCTATAGAATCATAAGAGCAAAGGTTCTCGATTATTACCAATAACGAGAACAACTTGAGTTAAGATAGTGCTTTAGGTCATCTTTTAAGACTTACCAGCCTACTAGCTGTCTGAGTGGATCTTTTTAAAAGGACAGGCATGAAAAAGCACTTGAAACCATTTGTCAATGTAGTTACAAGTGTTGAATGATTTACGAGCATATGTGCCGTACGGGTATAAGGAAATTACACACGAGAACTGCTTGGTTAGGTTAAGAAAAACTAAATGAATAAATAAATCGAAAACTCAATCAACATAACACTCCTCTGAAATATGCTTTTACTGTGACTTATATGCAAAAAAAAACACAAAAAAGAAAATACCTTCTAATGCCTTTTCTAAGCTTAGAACGATTTATCTATCTTTTGCATTAACAATTATCATAATAAAAATCCTGAAATTCGATTCTTACCAAAAAGTTAATTAATTATTTTATTAATTTTTAACTTTTGCATAAATGAAAATTTCTTTTTATTTATGTATATCTTAAAGTGTCTTCAATTTACATTATTCGAACGTATTCACAGTTGGTTCGTTTTTATTAATAAGGAAGTGCGATGTGAAGTTGAAAGAAGTAAGAAAATTATATACAGTTATGGCCGAATTTCTTATACCCACTATTGTTATCCTGAAAAAGATAAAAACACTGAAGGAACTAAATTTTCATTCGCTCCTGATTTTTTCTATTGTCGTAAACAAAGGTTTTATTGCGTGTGGGCGCTATAGGCGTGCCTTAGGAAATGTTGAAATCCCCTCCAAAGTCTTTTGCAAATTTTTAGGCGATACTTGCATTTTCACTAGAAGGAGAATGTTTACAATAAATACTATACAATTACGCAGAGAGACAGATGGACAGATAAGCAGAGGGCCATCTCAATTTTGAACCTGCTAAAGAATTTTGCATACTTTATGGGGTTTTTAAAGCTTTCTTCTCCGCCTTCTAAAGGTTTTGAAAACCAAATTAATGTTTGATACATTATAATAGTAAGTAGGCGTGGTCAATTTTTCCCATTTTTGTACAGTTCCTACGGCATCGCCCATAGAATATGGACTCAAATTTTTGTATACTTATCTGCTACAGTTTGTGAGTAATGAGCAACAAACCTTTTGGAAAACGAGACATGTTTTCAGTTTACTTAATGCTGAGGGCGTGTCCTTTGAACGATTTAATTCATTTTCAATACCAGCCTGCCTGCAAGAACTTTAAATGTTTCGGCCAAATTTGAAGTCGATGGTTGGACGGACATTCTTAAATAGAATTAGAATTTGATGCTGATCAAGCCTATATATATATATATATATATATATATACATATGCTTTGTGGACTCTCTGATGCTTTCTACTAGGCGTTACAAACATTTTGACAAAATGAACATACACCTCATCCTTCGATGATGGGTATAAAAACGCAGCATACAATACAATACAATACAATATGCAGTGAAAGGATATAAAGGAAAGAAGAAGAAATTCAACTCATTTAACAATTTTTAATAAAGATGACCGACAAACTTGCGGCTTTCCTTGAATACGATTGGTTTTATACAAAGTATCGAATTAATTAATTTACGGCAAGTGAAGTGAGCTTCGCTTTGCGGAAGCTGAGTGCAACTAATGATTTTGTTGATTTTTCGATAAAGATTTGCATTTTTCGAAAATTATTCACATAAATAATAAATAATTTAAAAAAAATTTTTAATAAACAAACTTAGCTGACTTTTGAAATAAACGAAAATAATAAGAAAAAAACAACTTTTTTAATTTTTTAACTTAAAATAAACCGAGTCAGACTATTTTCGGTATTTGGTTTAGACGACTTTTCAAAATATTGTACTAAATATTATTAGAATATTGATGAAATTGTCGTAGTTGTCTTAACTTTTCCAGAAATTCTGCTATTTTTCATCACGAGTAGCTAAATTGGTTTGATCTTACTCAGGCCCACGTATGCTCAATCTATGGCTTGATTACTCTGTACTCAGCATTAGCTTTTGTATTCCAATGCCTGTATAAGTGTTCCAAGCTACGCTTAAGTGACTTTTTCTCTTTTTGTAGAATTTTAATTAAATCTTAATCTAATCCATATATATATATATATATATATGTATATATATATAGGCAATCGCTTGCAACAATAAAACATGACCACCAACGCTTGAAATCGCTTTACCGAGCAGTACTGCTTGGTGTACTTATCCGATCAATTTTTCCAGGGAATTTTAATGAAGCATTGGCATGTTAGAATTTTTAAGAAATTTCGGCAGTGAGTCCAATCTATTAAGAAACACCCTCTTATAGGAAAATTATTATACTTAGGATATTGGAAAATGAAGACATAAAGTTTAGCTCAGCTTGTGTTTGTGATTAAATGTTCATTGGAAGAAATTACCCATAAACTGGGTTTGCATTTATCTGTACGGAATAGAAAAAGACAACAATTTTTGCACACACACACACACATATAGACGATTCTTACTGTAGAATAATTCAAGTATTAGTCAATCTTACTATCTTTTACTGACATACGTTACGACAATATTTTTTCCATATACTAGGAATACTAAATATTATGCATGAGTAAAACATAACATAAGCATTAAATACACATCAACACAAAGTGTAAATTGCTTTACACATGTTGTACACACTTGTACACGATTCTATTCGAAACGAGTATGTATGTATGTATGTAGTAAGCATATATCGATAACATCTTTCTATCATTCTTTGTGTGTCTCTGGACGTGACCTTCTCTGCATTTGTAATGGAATCACGTGTGTAATCCAGGTAGTGAAGAATTCGATATAAAAGATGCTGCTTAAAATTTATGAAATTCGTGCACATTGTCATGCATATAAAGGGGCCATGCATGTAGATGCATGAAAACATGCATTAATGCATTTTCATAATCTTTACTTACATCAAAAAATAAAAATAAAAAAAAAAATATTTCAATACAATGTACTTTTCATTTAAAACCAACATAGATACAACATTTGCACGTTAAAATTTAAATCGAATCGAAAAAAAAGCTTCAAGTAAAATAGATATTTTTTTTTTTCGGAAGCTTTCGCCCCAAGCAATATAATAAGTAAAATTGATATTAAAAATTGGATTATATCCGGAACTCAATTATTACAAAAGTTCATATATATATATATATATTCGCATAGGAAGGATTAAGGAGCAGAACACCCAAGTAGTCTATAAGCAATGTAAGGCGGAACTTGAATGGAAAATGAATTCTTTATGCAATGCTTTTTCATAGCGAACCCTTGGAACAAAATATCTTGGGCTTTACGAAATTTTATCAAATCTGGTTTCGCACTCTTCATCTCCATCACTCATCCTTCATTCTTCTTCTTCATTTATGAATATCATTACATTTGTATGCAGAAAAAAATTGAAAATTGTCTTATTTGGAATTATTTATCTTCTTCAACGCTGCTGCACTCTTTTTCTGTTTGTCTGTCCGTCTGTACAATGCCTGCTGTAATCATTGTCTTGGCGGAAAGCTTGAAGCTTTCCGCTTCAAATTTGACAGGAACATGAAAAGTTCTTATACACAGGTCGATATTGAAAATGAGCTAAATCGGTTCAAAGATCTGCCTACTGCCGCACGTAAACTGAGAGCACTGCTGTTTTCAAAAAGAAATTTATTTTTCTGTCCATTATCTACATCCTGTGCGTGTACAAAAGTAGGAAAAATAGCCCATGCCTATCATATATGATCGGATCTACAGGGATATATATAGAAATTTTACTTTTTTTTGTTTTTTCGAAATCAGAAACGTGTTTTCCATTTCTTACGTTCTTGTAATGGTGTCATGATCATTGCCGTGCTCGCCATAACCGGTTGGTATAAGCACA